TTTGCTGGTACAGTTGCTGTTGTGACTGTGTTTGCTGGTACAGTTGCTGTTGTGGCTGTGTTTGCTGGTACAACTGTTGTTATTGTTGTGGCTGTGTTTGCTGGTACAGATGCTGTTGTGGCTGTGTTTGTTGGTACAACTGTTGTTATTGTTGTGGCTGTGTTTGCTGGTACAGATGCTGTTGTGGCTGTGTTTGTTGGTACAGCTGTTGTTATTGTTGTGGCTGTGTTTGCTGGTATAGATGCTGTTGTGGCTGTGTTTGTTGGTACAGCTGTTACTGTTGTGGCTGTGTTTGCTGGTACAGATGTTGTTGTGGCTGTGTTTGTTGGTACAGCTGTTGTTATTGTTGTGGCTGTGTTTGCTGGTACAGTTGCTGTTGTGGCTGTGTTTGCTGGTACAGTTGCTGTTGTGACTGTGTTTGCTGGTACAGATGCTGTTGTGGCTGTGTTTGCTGGTACAGATGCTGATGTGACTGTGTTTGCTGGTACAGATGCTGTTGTGGCTGTGTTTGCTGGTACAGATGCTGTTGTGGCTGTGTTTGCTGGTACAGATGCTGTTGTGGCTGTGTTTGCTGGTACAGTTGCTGTTGTGGCTGTGTTTGCTGGTACAGATGCTGTTGTGACTGTGTTTGCTGGTACAGATGTTGTTGTGGCTGTGTTTGCTGGTACAGATGCTGTTGTGGCTGTGTTTGCTGGTACAGTTGCTGTTGTGGCTGTGTTTGCTGGTACAGTTGCTGTTGTGGCTGTGTTTGCTGGTACAGTTGCTGTTGTGGCTGTGTTTGCTGGTACAGTTGCTGTTGTGGCTGTGTTTGCTGGTACAGTTGCTGTTGTGGCTGTGTTTGCTGGTACAGATGCTGTTGTGGCTGTGTTTGCTGGTACAGATGCTGTTGTGGCTGTGTTTGCTGGTACAGTTGCTGTTGTGGCTGTGTTTGCTGGTACAGTTGCTGTTGTGACTGTGTTTGCTGGTACAGATGCTGTTGTGGCTGTGTTTGCTGGTACAGATGCTGTTGTGGCTGTGTTTGCTGGTACAGATGCTGTTGTGGCTGTGTTTGCTGGTACAGATGCTGTTGTGGCTGTGTTTGCTGGTACAGTTGCTGTTGTGGCTGTGTTTGCTGGTACAGTTGCTGTTGTGACTGTGTTTGCTGGTACAGTTGCTGTTCTGGCTGTGTTTGCTGGTACAGTTGCTGTTGTGGCTGTGTTTGCTGGTACAGTTGCTGTTGTGACTGTGTTTGCTGGTACAGTTGCTGTTGTGGCTGTGTTTGCTGGTACAGTTGCTGTTGTGGCAGTGTTTGCTGGTACAGATGCTGTTGTGGCTGTGTTTGCTGGTACAGTTGCTGTTGTGGCTGTGTTTGCTGGTACAGTTGCTGTTGTGGCTGTGTTTGCTGGTACAGATGCTGCTTTGGCAGTGTTTGCTGGTACAGATGCTGTTGTGGCTGTGTTTGCTGGTACAGTTGCTGTTGTGGCTGTGTTTGCTGGTACAGTTGCTGTTGTGGCTGTGTTTGCTGGTACAGATGCTGCTGTGGCAGTGCTTGCTGGTACAGATGCTGTTGTGGCTGTGTTTGCTGGTACAGTTGCTGTTGTGACTGTGTTTGCTGGTACAGTTGCTGTTGTGGCTGTGTTTGCTGGTACAGATGCTGTTGTGACTGTGTTTGCTGGTACAGTTGCTGATGTGGCTGTGTTTGCTGGTACAGATGCTGTTGTGACTGTGTTTGCTGGTACAGATGCTGTTGTGGCAGTGTTTGCTGGTACAGATGCTGTTGTGGCAGTGTTTGCTGGTACAGATGCTGTTGTGGCTGTGTTTGCTGGTACAGTTGCTGTTGTGACTGTGTTTGCTGGTACAGTTGCTGTTGTGGCTGTGTTTGCTGGTACTGATGCTGTTGTGGCTGTGTTTGCTGGTACAGTTGCTGTTGTGGCTTTGTTTGCTGGTACAGATGCTGTTGTGGCTGTGTTTGCTGGTACAGTTGCTGTTGTGGCTGTGTTTGCTGGTACAGATCCTGTTGTGGCTGTGTTTGCTGGTACAGATGCTGTTGTGGCTGTGTTTGCTGGTACAGATGCTGTTGTGGCTGTACTTGCTGGTACAATTGCTGTTTCATTATATTGTTGGTGGTGGTGTTGACGCATCTAGTACCTGCTGCTGTCCTTGTATATGTTTTCGTGGTTGTTGTTGCTGTTGGCTATTTTGGGAGTGTTAATGTCCGCATGTGTGTGTGTGCTCACCTGGTTGTACTCACCTAGTTGTGCAAAGAGCTCTGGCTCTTTGGCCCCGCCTCGCAACTGTTGATCAACCGGTGTATAGATTCCTGAGCCTACTGGGCTGGATCATATTGACATTTGAAACTATGTATGGATCAGCCTCCACCACATCACTGCCTAACCTATCTAGGTTTTTGTGTGTGTACGTACAAATGGTTATCTAATAGCCTATTCAGGAATGGAGTTCCAGCTGTGTTTTGCTCCGCCAACTGGTCGTGATGCACCTCTTACGTTATAATTCACATAGTTGTCGTAGTTAATTTAACGTTAATTAACGCCTTATGGGATTGTCGTAGTGGCAGGATTTTTTGTTATCTCCTGGGATATTCCTTCGTGGGTCCCGAGTCTCTTGCTGGCCCACTAAGTGTTACTCATTTCAGTTTTACTCAGTCAATGGATGAGTGTTTATGACTCACACGGTGGCCTCTGTAAGGTATGGCCCAGTGTGTGTAACAACTTCTTTAACTGCGCTGTTAAATCTCGGTTAAAATCTTATTTGGGTTCAACTCTGTACTGTGTTAGACAGTGTTCTAGTGGTCTGTTTGGGTTGTAAATTAGCCCTGTGTTAGATAATGTTCCAGTGGGTTGATATATATGGCTATTTTAAGGTTATCTGTGATTTCGGGGCTTAACGTCCCCGCGGCCCGGTCCTCGACCAGGCCTCCACCCCCAGGAAGCAGCCCGTAGCAGCTGTCTAACTCCCAGGTACCTATTTACTGCTAGGTAACAGGGGGCATCAGGGTGAAAGAAACATTTTGCCCATTTGTCTCTGCCTCCACCGGGGATCGAACCCGTAGCCTCAGGACTATGAATCCAAAGCACAGTCCAACCAGCTGTCAGGCGCCCTATATATAGTAGTGGTAGTTGTGGTGGTTAAGGTTGTGGTTATAGTTGAAATGTTTGTGATTGTAGTGGTAGTGTTTGTGGTGGTATTGGAATGGTGATGCGGTAGTTGTGGTTGTAATGGTTCTGTTGTGGTAACGTAATGGCAATGATTATCGTGAAGGGTGGTGGTGGTGGTGGTTGCGATAGGGAGTTGTGGTTGTAGTAATGGTAGTGGTTGTGGTGGTATGAAAGTGAATGTTGTTATTGTTCGAGAGAGATCTTAACAGAATAGTAAGTAGGAAGCTGATATGTCACCTAAATAACGCCACAGCGTGCTCCCATCACCGCCAACCCCCACCACCGCCAACCCCCACCACCGCGAACCGCGATCTCCGCGAACCTAGTATCATCCATTAACATCCAGGCTGAAGACTAACATTACCCCTCAACATCGGAGCTGAAGCCTAATATTACCCCTCAACATCGGAGCTGAAGCCTAACATTACCCCTCAACATCGGAGCTGAAGCCTAACATTACCCCTCAACATCGGAGCTGAAGCCTAACATTATCCCTCAACATCGGAGCTGAAGCCTAATATTACCCCTCTACATCGGAGCTGAAGCCTAATATTACCCCTCAACATCGGAGCTGAAGCCTAACATTACCCCTCAACATCGAAGCTTAAGCCTAATATTACCCCTCAACATCGGAGCTTAAGCCTAACATTACCCCTCAACATCGGAGCTGAAGCCTAACATTACTCCTCAACATCGGAGCTTAAGCCTAATATTACCCCTCAACATCGGAGCTGAAGCCTAACATTACCCCTCAACATCGGAGCTGAAGCCTAACATTACCCCTCAACATCGGAGCTGAAGCCTAACATTATCCCTCAACATCGGAGCTGAAGCCTAATATTACCCCTCAACATCGGAGCTGAAGCCTAATATTACCCCTCAACATCGGAGCTGAAGCCTAACATTACCCTCAACATCGGAGCTTAAGCCTAACATTACCCCTCAACATCGGAGCTGAAGCCTAACATTACTCCTCAACATCGGAGCTGAAGCCTAATATTACCCCTCAACATCGGAGCTTAAGCCTAACATTACCCCTCAACATCGGAGCTGAAGCCTAACATTACTCCTCAACATCGGAGCTTAAGCCTAATATTACCCCTCAACATCGAAGCTTAAGCCTAACATTACCCCTCAACATCGGAGCTTAAGCCTAATATTATCCCTCAACATCGGAGCTTAAGCCTAACATTACCCCTCAACATCGGAGCTTAAGCCTAATATTATCCCTCAACATCGGAGCTGAAGCCTAACATTACCCCTCAACATCGGAGCTTAAGCCTAATATTACCCCTCAACATCGGAGCTTAAGCCTAACATTATCCCTCAACATCGGAGCTGAAGCCTAACAGTACCCCTCAACATCGGAGCTTAAGCCTAACATTACCCCTCAACATCTGAGCTTAAGCCTAATATTATCCCTCAACATTGGAGCTGAAGCCTAATATTATCCCTCAACATCGGACCTGAAGCCTAACATTACCCCTCAACATCGGAGCTGAAGCCTAACATTACCCCTCAACATCGGAGCTGAAGCCTAATATTATCCCTCAACATCGGAGCTGAAGCCTAATATTATCCCTCAACATCGGAGCTGAAGCCTAACATTACCCCTCAACATCGGAGCTGAAGCCTAATATAGTACATTGGGAGCAATTCGTTATTATCGGTATTGATGAATATTCTCTTCTTGTACTGATGATTAGTTTGTTCTTGTTACTCTTACCATCATCCTCCTCATCATTGTTTTCTTCGTCATTATCAACCACTTGTTGTTCAACACCTTCCTGTCTTCGATGTCTTAATATTCTCTTCTTCTTCTTCTCTTATTTAATGCAAACGAAGATGTTGAATGTTTCTACAGGTGTAAACGCTGATATAAGGAGAGCACCGTTACGCTGCCTCCTTCGTGTGGTACTGGAGGGCAACGATGGAGGGAAAGTACACCTAATATCCGCCAGGAATTTTCAGAGTTGACGAAGTAACGAAGGAGGTGGACGAACAATGGACCCCAAAGAGCGATGGAATCTCAGCGATGGAGCCAGACGAGATATTCAGCGGTGAAAGTGATGGAGCCAGATGAGTGTTGGAGCTGGACAAGCTGGACTTAGCCCATCTTCCTGGCAAATGGTCAAAGATGCAAAGTTACTTATTCTTATCATAAGAGATGTTAAAACGTGTTGAGCATGATTGAAATCACTCGGTGTTTCCTCTACTGAGGAATTAATAAGGTCTCTACGCAAGGGCAAGTTGTGTTGGTTTGAGTGGAAATGTTTCTTGGATAATTATTAATTATATGTACATAGGTTTCACGTATTATGGTGAAGAGGTTGTGTGTGTGTTTCTATGTGTATTAGTAAGAGAAGTGATGCGATATGCATGATGTGTTGATTGGTAGTTTGTTTGATTGTCGGTGTCTTCGAGTGTGTTGTCTTCGCCGTTTTTAATTAGGGACCTCCACCTAGATTCAGGAAGCTCTGTGTATTTCTTCGTAAGTGGGTTTGCTACGAAGGTTCCTAAGTGTCCCCTAAGAAGATGCTTAAGTGCAATTCAATAAGGTCCACTTAGGAAGAAATTTGTTGGTTCACCTGCGTGCCGATAGAGGTCACTACTGTGTTTCGTTTGGCCAATCAGAGAGCAGCAACATTCTTCATATTGAAGATTTAGCGCTGCTTATCGGAGCTCTACTGCCTCCTAGTTACGTCGAATTTTCTTATAAAATTAGTATATTTCGAAGTAAAACAATGTTTTTTCAACTTCTACAGCCAGCACCGACATTGTAGTAAACAAATATGTTACATTTGTTGTTTACCTACGTAATTCTAAGAGATACTGTGTAGCTGTCCTTGTTGCTCGGAAGATGCGCTGACAATTATTGTATATATTTACTGAATTTACCCAAGGGCACTAACTATCTAGTGGCCTCGAAGAGGACAGAAAGCCGGCGGCTTGTTAAAGGGCCCGCCAATTGTCTTAATGATATTTTTTAGCTTGAATTTGGCATTTACGGCTTCAGCGGGTAGGCGGTTCCATGGGTTTATAGCCCTCTTGGTGGAAAAAAACATCTGTTTTCAGTCCTACTTGAGAGAACACTCTCCAACACTATATCTGTGATTGTCCTGTTATCAGTGACTTCATACCAAATGGTATGAGGTATTTTGAGCTCTGTAATTACTTCATACACTCAGGAATATTGGAAGATATTCTTGTGCTGCACCCAGATTTTGCCAGTGGAGGCTAATAGATCAGCATTAAGTATTTTGTTCTCTCCTGATTCCATGTATGGCTGGCCATCCTGTGAGGTGAGGATGTTGGGTGAGCTTGTAGCTGGTTTTTGATCTACACTGTGTGGTCCTTTATACAGAATAGGGAAGCAGCACATTGCTGTGTATACCTAAACATGTTTAAAAATACATTGTTTGAGAGGAGTCTTGTAGAAACTGGTAAGAGTAATTATAATAATATAATGTTTCCATGATTCAGTGTTTACCTCTTGTGAAAATCGCGAAGAGTTGTTTAGTCAGAGTTTATTTGTTTTTTGTATTGAGGCTGGTATTTTCTAAATTGATTCCATGTACAGTATGTCTAACCATCCTGTGAGATGGGAGTATTAGATAAACTTATAGCTAGTTTTTTTATCTACACTGTGTAATATTCCATATAGAATAGGGTAGCAGCACATTGCTGTGTATACCTAATCTTCTTAATAAAAAATATCAGTAATAATGATTTTAAATTATAGTTTGTATTATTACAAATACAGTACTGTATTATCCTTATTAAATCATGTTGACCATGGATCATTAAGATCTCATGTTGATATGTAATAGTCATATTTCTTTTGAACTGCTAATCCATGCTAATCATTCATTAAATTGTGCATTATGTCTCAATTTTTCACTTCCTTGGATATACTGTAGAGTACAAAAAGATAGGATAAAAATAAACCAGTAATATTTCTTTCATTATATTTTTCATTTAAATAACTGCATCAATATTTTTACAGCTGACAGGATTTGTTTTACCATGCAGGTGCATTATTTGTTAAAAAATAATTGGTTTATTGTTACACACAATGGTGCTACATAGCCTTCCCAGCTTGGTGCCTTCTTTTAATACTTACTGATTAAAAAATAAATAATAAATACATTTTATTCAGGAAATGTACATACAGTTGATTTACAAACATAATGTTGGATTTATAGACAGAGCTAGTACATACAATACCTAAAGCCACTAATACTCATAGCATTTCGGGCAAGGTGTGGGGGAAAAAACACAGACTAAAACTTAATAGTAATCGGGATTAGGTATAAATTGTGTTGAAAGAAGGAATAAAAAATACAAAAAGGGGGTTAACATAGCAATTAACATACATAACAACAACATAACATAACATACATAGTTAACATAGTTAACATACAGCAATTGCACATGTTGGTGAACAGCGTTGTTTAAAAAATAGCAAGACATGGGTTGACATTTAGGAGGTAAGTTAGGTTAAATGGAGTTAATTAGGCAGTACTTGGTTTAACTCTTAAACTGGTTGAGAGAGGTACAGCCTTTGACATGATTCGGGAGGTCATTCCACATTCTAGGTCCCTTGATTTATAGAGCACTTCTAGTTTGGTTACACACAGTCAAATTGTGTAACAGGAAGAGGTCTTGGACACAAATTTGTTCCATGCTAAATGTAGAGGAATCAGCTGAGTATTCTTCAAATAAAATAAGTTGCCTCAGCTTTAAGGTAAATAAAATAAGCATTTCTCAAATAAGTAGCTGCCTCACCTCACTGCCTTACTGCTACATAGCCTTCCCGGCATGGTGCCTTCTTTTGATAATTACTTGTTCCACACCCAAATTGTGTAACAGGAAGAGGTCTTGGACCCCTACTTCCCTCTCTCTTTTTTAATATTCTATATAGTCATAATTATAGCTTTAAGTATTCAATGAATAAATTTTTTGACATTTTTACTCTTTTCCTTGCCTAACATCATTTGTGCAGCATATGTTTATTTTATGTCTCACCCAGATTTAATTTCAAAATAAAACCAAACTAAATAAATTAGAAATGGGTATGTATAGCTAAGGTACACCCTTACTACTAGGTGAACAGGGGGATTTGGTGATAGTAAATGATCCCATCAGGCAGGGCTCATCACCTTCTCTCATATTTCATGTTCACCAGTGTTTATTTACTTAATAACTACTGGTATAATATCTTGCTATTATAAAACTAATTCTACTATCATAAAAGACATATTTACTTTAAGTTTCAAGCAGAGAATGCATATATAACGTAATGTTAGGCTTCAGCTCCGATGTTGAGGGGTAATGTTAGGCTTCAGGTCCGATGTTGAGGGATAATATTAGGCTTCAGCTCCGATGTTGAGGGATAATATTAGGCTTAAGCTCCGATGTTGAGGGGTAATGTTAGGCTTAAGCTCCGATGTTGAGGGGTATTGTTAGGCTTCAGCTCCGATGTTGAGGGATAATGTTAGGCTTAAGCTCCGATGTTGAGGGGTAATATTAGGCTTAAGCTCCGATGTTGAGGGGTAATGTTAGGCTTCAGCTCCGATGTTGAGGGATAATATTAGGCTTAAGCTCCGATGTTGAGGGGTAATGTTAGGCTTAAGCTCCGATGTTGAGGGATAATATTAGGCTTAAGCTCCGATGTTGAGGGGTAATGTTAGGCTTCAGCTCCGATGTTGAGGGGTAATATTAGGCTTAAGCTCCGATGTTGAGGAGTAATGTTAGGCTTCAGCTCCGATGTTGAGGGGTAATATTAGGCTTAAGCTTCGATGTTGAGGGGTAATGTTAGGCTTCAGCTCCGATGTTGAGGGGTAATATTAGGCTTCAGCTCCGATGTTGAGGGGTAATATTAGGCTTCAGCTCCGATGTTGAGGGATAATGTTAGGCTTCAGCTCCGATGTTGAGGGGTAATGTTAGGCTTCAGCTCTGATGTTGAGGGGTAATGTTAGGCTTCAGCTCCGATGTTGAGGGGTAATATTAGGCTTCAGCTCCGATGTTGAGGGGTAATGTTAGTCTTCAGCCTGGATGTTAATGGATGATACTAGGTTCGCGGAGATCGCGGTTCGCGGAGATCGAGGTTCGCGGAGATCGAGGTTCGCGGAGATCGAGGTTCGCGGTGGTGGGGGTTGGCGGTGATGGGAGCACGCTGTGGCGTTATTTAGGTGACATTCCTACTTACTATTCTGTTAAGATCTCTCTCGAACAATAACAACATTCACTTTCATACCACCACAACCACTACCATTACTACAACCACAACTCCCTATCGCAACCACCACCACCACCACCCTTCACGATAATCATTGCCATTACGTTACCACAACAGAACCATTACAACAACAACTACCGCATCACCATTCCAATACCACCACAAACACTACCACTACAATCACAAACATTTCAACTATAACCACAACCTTAACCACCACAACTACCACTACTATATATAGGGCGCCTGACAGCTGGTTGGACTGTGCTTTGGATTCATAGTCCTGAGGCTACGGGTTCGATCCCCGGTGGAGGCAGAGACAAATGGGCAAAATGTTTCTTTCACCCTGATGCCCCCTGTTACCTAGCAGTAAATAGTATTATATACTGTGGGTTGGTTGGTGTTGTCGTCGTTGATCCTTCTCTATGGACAACCCAACCCACAACTCGGCAGAGTGCTTATACTAGGAGATCACCCTTGGCGCTTCTGGCTCTTGGAGAGGGGCTCAACGTCACACGTTTAGGGGATGCGGCTCCACCACTTAGCCTCGTTGTCACGTGCACACACCCACTCGAGCCGCTGTGACTCCCCACTCTCTCCTTATGAGATATGATCTCCTCAATCCCCTATGACTTACTAGTATTACCTCCTACCCTGTCCACGGCAGTGGTTCTTGGTTCTTTCTCTCTCTCTCTCCTTC